TTAAAAATGTACACTTCACTTTACCAGACAATAATCAAGAGATAATATTAACAAAACAATAATAGTAATGGTAATAACGGTGAAGTTCAACAATAGTGTCCCAAGAATGCGAACGCTCCAATGACCTTGAACGCATACTAGTCGTTGGCTAACCAGCACCTGTCAATATCATAAAGCTGAAATATCAATGCTGTTCACCACCATCAGTTAAGCAGCAAATTTCAACCAGATCACGTCTTTAAGTACTTTTTCGACTATGTGTTAATAGGATTACGGTTAAGATAAGGTTTGGGGTTAGGTTTAGGATCAGGGTTATAATTAGCATTAGGGTTCGAATTATGCTTTGAATAAGAGTTAGGATTAAGGCTAGGGTTACTATTAGGGATAGACTTATAGTTGATGTCATTTATTTTAATTTGTTTTATTATCGACATTTTATTGGTAAGTAGTCGTCTGTCCTCTTACTGGAAACCATAGTAATTCAATCGAGGGCTATGCGGAAAACTGGACAACAGGATAGGAGAGATAGACGGTTCACAAAAGCAGCTCATCTCCAGTCACCTCGGTGAATACATGTACAGAAACTAGTCTACCTTAGCAACTGATACTCCTCATTATAACTGGGACGTATTTTTAAAGCCATGTCAGAGAAAGATAACCTGTTCAATATGTTTTCATGCATTTTCTTGTAAACATACGTGATTTTTTGTGCGAAAATTCCTTATTTTTATGATTGGTCGGCTGAAGGTCAGCCGTGCGTTCGCATCCCATGGGACGCTTTTGTTGAACTTTGCCATAATAACTTCATTTTGAATAATATAAAACAGTATGCAGTGTTAAATTCTGAACGTTTGGTTAGTATTGACAAAAAAAAGCTATAAACTGTATGTGCGTTGGTGGCACAATGGTTAGGACGCTCGCCGACCATGCATATGGTCCGGAGTTCGATCCATGGCCGACGCATACCTGATATCAATGTTCGGCCTGCTAAATTTGGGCTACCGATATCACTTTCTGAAAATTTCTTACTTGTACCAAAACACTGTATGGAATCAAGGTGTATTAGAATAAAATAAATAAATAAAATAGATCCTCCTCATAACTTTATACACATGGGTGGATTCCCTTGAAACATCCCGACAACGCAAGGCCAAATCCACAGTATAAAATGATGTCGTCATTCTATTTCACAGGACCTCACACACTACAGAATACCTGAAATTATAATGGTTGTAAGTTATGACAATAGCGTACTTCAATGTTCGAATGGCAGTAGAAGAGAAAGCATTACGAAGTTAACCGATATCAGCATTACAATTGACGGTCAAGTTAAACTTTAAGCACCACTAACTACCAAATGGAGTGCGACCGCACCAATGACCTTGAAACACCCACTGAGCAAGTTAATGAAACCTGGCAAATAGCATTGTCATCATCAATAAAATATGCTCATCGAAGTGTTATGCTATTCAATGAGATATTTGGCAAGTTTCAGCTTAAGTTTGGGAAAGATTAAGTTACGCTTGAACCCAAGGACATGTTTGGGTTAGGTTAACCTAATAAAGGCAACATTAGGGTTGGTTCAAGTTAGATTACAGTTAGTTTGGGGATATTTTCTCGTTAGGGTTAGGTTCAGGAAAAATTAGGTCTAGAAGACCTAAATAATTACATGCATAGAATGTGGTTAAATTACTCTGTTGATATAAGAATATTACTTGTGCACTGTGGTAGAGTATAATTCCATTGTGGGCAACATTTATTTTGATAAAGCCTCACAGTGTTATACAGTAACTAATATTTACTGATGACGTTTTAAGCACAACATGTTGCTCAGGAAAAATTACTGTATTACACTATGAGACTTAATTAAAACAAGTTTTACCTACAATGGAACTATACTCTGTTTATACTCCAACCTAAAAGTGAGAGCTATCACATCCGAAAGCAAGGTATCTCCTGTGACAATTTTCTACAGTTTTAATTCATTCTTTTCATAAATATATGTATTCCATATACAAAATTGCCTCCTTCACGTGCATTCGAGGTCATTCACTGATTGGTAGTTGGTGGTGCTTAAAGTTTAACTTTGCCCAGTTCACTTTAATTTAAGTTAGTTTGAGCCATTCAGCCAGCCAGCCACGTAGGGAGGGGTGTAAACTTGTTGACTGGTTAGGGTCCTCGATGTAATAATAACCGATGTAGACCGAAGACAATTGGTGATATGGCTAGATCACAATCGTCGTTCTCAGTGATGACAGGCGCAAATGCATTCACTCTTTGTGAGATAATTTGTTGTATCCAATAAAACTCTATTATTTTTCTTCCGTATTACTACTATTCTTTTTACCTCACTCTCACTTCTGTTTATTATTATTTATTTATCTCTCATTTTTGAATCTCTATTTACTGTCTTCTCTTGCTTTTTGTGGTACATGGAGGGAGAGTGGCAAGTTGAACTGGCACACATCTGTTCAAAGTTGTATGTTGAAACCAGTCAGTCATTCAGTGAGATAATTGATAACCATGAGGAGTGTATCTAAGCTTTGAAAGGCATTCACATACAATATTCCCAGTAATCTATCACAAAGATTATTTTTTTTAATTGTTGGTTTACATATTTCTTAATCGAATAAATGTCATACACCTGTCTCATTTTTATTAGCTTAGACATGAAATCAAGGCGAATATGTTTATAGAAAAGACATTGAGAGATCATATTTATTCACGGCTTGTTTGAAGCTGCTTACAATCTAAAAGCCAAGTATTGGTTTGTAGGGATTTGGTTGATTGGTTACAAGATTTCATCATGAGCTGACATTGGTTAGAGAACCATTGGAAAACCTGGGATTACTGGACAGCTGTTTCGTCCTCGTTTGGGACTCTTCATCAGTACGCACCCAGCGGAGTTCGGACCCAGAACCTTCTGGTCACAAGGCAAGCTCGTATACCATTAAGCCACTGGGACCCGATCCAATGGCCGGTGCATGAATTTTAACTTGTGCCAATTCACGATATAGCGCAACCGCTAGCCAATGTCTTCGACGAGTGTTTGTCCTCTAACCAATGTCAGCTCATGATGAAATCCTGTAACCGATCAACCAAATCCCTAAAAATCAATACTTGAATATTAATGAGATGCTCACTGGCGATTGGCCCTATTCAGGTAGGCATTTACCTGGGGTTCCAATGGGAGGTCGTGACCAGTAGGGTGCAGCAGGTCAGGTGTGAGGACAAATACTCGCCGAAGACATTGGCTAGCGGTTGCGCTATATCGTGAATTGGCTGGAGTTAGAATTAATGGGCCATTGAATTGGGTACCAGTGGTTGAATGGTCTACGAGCTCGCTGGCCTTGTAACCAGAAGGTGCTGGGTTCGAATCCCTGTTGTGGGCGGATACTGATGAAGAGTCCGAGACTAGGCTGATGAAAAAGCTGTCCAGTACTCCCTAGTGGTTTTCTAACGGTTATCTAACCGATGTCAGTTCATGATGAAATCCTGTAATCTAAAAGTCACCTAAATTATTATAAATGTAAATATATAACATAATTCAAAACTATTTCACGTCAAAGGGTAGTCGATTACACTTGTTTAGTTGAAAAAAACCTGATTTGGTCCTTGGGTAGTATGTAAGCATCCTCATCCGTCAGGAGTACAGGGACAACAGATACTTGGAAGAACATTAGTGTTATAAATTCATATGTAAATTCATATATAAAAGAATACATGGAAATAATATACATCAATGTTTTAACGGCAGTAGAAGAGAGAACATTATAAAATAGATTAACACATCCGAAATATCAGCACTGCAATTGACTTTAGTTTTAGTTACCATCAATTTATATGCTTTCGAAGTAGAAAAGTATGGAGCGGGAGAGGTGAAGACAGAAAACAGAAAAAAAATAATAAAAAGTGTTCGATTGTAAGGTCACATAACAACCGAAGAAGGTTAAAACGATTATAAGATGGTAAACTTTCTCAGTGAGCTGAAATCACTAATATCGATGGCTAATCAATGTAACGAAAATGCATTTATAACAAGGGAGTGATAGATTGATTACACTCTGTTTCTGTATGCATAAGTTTGGTTTGAAACTCCCGATTACAATTGCTTCGGCAAATCGTAGAATATTTACTGTCGTGTATCCACAAGGTGTGTCTGATAATCGTACTTTGAGAATATCTACTTCCTTGTTTTAGCCATAGGTTTTTTGGGATATGCTCTGAAAACATATAAATTGATGGTAATGTAAACTAAAGTCAATTGTAATGCTAATATTCTAGATGCGTTAGTGTATTTTATAATGTTTTCTCTTCTACTGCCATTCATACAGTGAAGCCTGTTATTTCCATGTATTCTTTTATAACCGTTGTTATATCACGTAGTCTTTGGCAGTTGATAAGAACCTGTGAAACAAAATGCAGCACGTTGAAGGTAAGGCAGTAAGTCATAGAAGCAGACATCGCAAAGTGGTCGCGTTATGTCATGAATTGGCAAAAGTTAGAATTCATGCGCTGGCCATTGGATCGGGTCCCAGTGGCTGAATGGATGGTTTACGAGCTCGCTGGCCTTGTAAGTAGAAGGTCCTGGGTTTGAACCCCAATAGGTGGGTGCGTACTGCTGAATAGTCCCAAACTAGGACAACGGAAACAGCTGTCCAGTACTCCCTGAAGGTTTTCCAATGGTTCTCTAACTGATGTCAGCTCATGATGAAATCCTCCAACCAGTCAAACAAAATCCTTACAAAAAAACCAATACTTGAAGAAATCGTTTTATACTACAAATTTGATCTTTCTTTCTTTCCTTATCGAAATTTATCAAGGGAACCGAATATATGAAACTCGTATTTCATCTTCATATCATCAAATAAATTAGACAGTCATTCTTCGCTTATCTGTAAAATTTGAATAAGTTCTTGAAAACAGCCATCTGATCGAATTACTCTTTTATGGAATCTGTTGTTCACTAAATGATTTTATTTTTAATTTTTAACTTTCAGAAAGGAACCTGAACCTAGTGAACTGTCGAATTATGTTTATCAAGATCCAAGTCATCAAACTATTCAACGAAATCAGCCTTATTCAATGTCTTTAACAACAAATCCTAATATCATAACTGCTACTACTGCAAATGGTAAAGATATTGATGCCTTTCAAACACATCGTCGTCAGTTGTCTTCTGCATCATCAAATAGTTGTTCAGGTTATGCAACAGGTCCTGGAACAGCAGCTGCTCCATCATCAGCTTCATCCTCTGCTGGCTACGGTTATGGATATGGTTATGGTTCAGGTAGTCTGGCGAGTTATGCGAGTAGTAGTAGTGGGAGTAGTAGTCTTGGTGGTAATGGTGCTGTTGGAGGAGGTCCTGTTAGTGGAGCAGGAGCTGGAGGAGGCGTGGGCGGAGGATATTTGGGGACAACAATGAATCGTTTAGGAAGTGGAAATATGAAGAATACAAGTTTAGGTGGAGGTGACTCCTGCAATTGGATTGGCTTAAACTCTCAAGGTTAGTTTTTGTTTTTATTTGTCTCCGTGTCTAATTTTTAAAGGCTCTTGTAACTACAGAAGACAAGGGCCAGGCAACAGATAGTTTATTGAGAAAATCATCAGAAATTTATAGATTTTTATGTACATTATTGTCAGCGGAGAAGCAACGTCTTCTGATTGGTTGTTTTCTTGCTGAAGGTTTCTGTGTACTGCTTGTGACTGTTCCTTAAAAATCCAGGCCATATATCTGCGAATTGTAGCTGTACACATCAAGTCTGCTGTGATTGGTTGTTGAGTTCCCCAAGGTTAAGCTTTGTTATTGTTTGTTCTCGTCACCCCGATTTGGGACGTAAACATTGACGTAAATTGCTGTTTTTACAATTTTGGCTTGCAGCTAGCTCTCACCACACTCTTATGTTCTAAAGTATCAGTTTTTCCCATTCAGATGTCCACCATAAAGGAATTTGTGTTGCGTAATATTCCCTTGAGTAGTCTGTGAAATACATAAAAATTAACTTTAGAATGATTAACAAGATGATGTAACCCAATACTTCTCAGACTGTACCAAAATGAATAAGTTTTTATTAGAAATTAGTCAATAGACCTTGTCAACAAATAATAATGGTCTTAAGCTAATTTCCTTCAAATGGAAGGTTGTTAATTTCTCTTTTAGTTGTACAGGCGCGACCTACATGAACTGGTTATTTCGCATTATTCTGATATCGTAGATGGCATTGAAGTTGGAACATAGATATGATGGAAAAGATTTGTAGCTCCGGTGGATAATTTTGATGTAGTTGTGTTCGCTAAGCTGTATACTTAATTTGCTAAGCTTTCATCGCCCTACTAGGCGACATCCTCAACGCATACTTCAATTTGAAATGAGCTTTTAGATTTCTCCACGAGTTTATTAATCATCTCTCCCGGTGACCTTGGACGTGATTGATTGTTTTTGTGTGTTTTCACACCTAGGTTACTTGTATTGGAAGTGATTGTTTCTTTGACTTGAACTTTGACCCTTTGTGTGTGAGGTTTCTTTCTTATTGGTTGATATATTTTGTCAATCTCGATGTGTCTATTGATTGATGATTCACTGGAATGCCAAGATTCTAAAATTTCTCTAGCATTCTTGTTGTTTCCTCTGTCTAATATTTGAACGTTGCTTTTCCCAGTCGAATTGATGTCCGCGGTTGTTTACTAGAGTCTACAAGACTCTTCAAACCTTTAGGAATTGACGTCGTACATAAACCATTAAAGTCATTTCACTCAGTTCTATCTCAACCAAAGGACTCAGCGGCGAAAGAAGATAAAATCAACATCATCTACAAAATAAATTGTAGCAACTTCGAAAATCACTACATTGGCCAAAGTGGACGTCCTCTTCGTCTTCGTATCCACGATCATAAGCTAACCGTCAAAAGACGTGACATCCATTCCTTCATATCACTAGATACAGACAACCACGGACATCAATTCGATTGGGACATTGTTCAAATATTAGACAGAAGAAACAACAAGAGTGCTAGAGAAATTTTAGAATCTTGGCATTCCAGTGAATCATCAATCAATAGACACATCGAGATAGACAAAATATATCAACCAATAAGAAAGAAACCTCACACACAAAGGGTCAAAGTTCAAGTCAAAGAAACAATCACTTCCAATACAAGTAACCTAGGTGTGAAAACACACAAAAACAATCAATCACGTCCAAGGTCACCGGGAGAGATGATTAATAAACTCGTGGAGAAATCTAAAAGCTCATTTCAAATTGAAGTATGCGTTGAGGATGTCGCCTAGTAGGGCGATGAAAGCTTAGCAAATTAAGTATACAGCTCAGATAACACAACCACATCAAAAAGTTGGAACTTAGTCGAAAGCTTTCAAATACCTTGGATTGTGTATTTCCTCTGATTTATCTTTCCTGGTCTTTTGACGTCACGTTAGTTTCTAGAAGGATATTTAGTTCGTGTAGCGTTCTACATAAGGAAGTTAAGACAATCTGGTATCACTCAGTCAGTCTCTACTGTTGTGGTGAAAGCTGTCTTCTAGCCAAAATTGTAGACACCAATTTACGTCAATGTTTACGTTCCGAATCCGGGTCACGAGATAAAACAATAACAAAGTCTAACCTTAAGGAACTCAACAAGCAATCACAGCAGACTTAGCGTGTGCAAATACGATTCGCAGATATATGGCCTGACCTTCAAAGAAACGTCCACAAAGAGATGACAGAATAACCTTCAGAAGGAAAAGAACCAACCAGAAGACGCTGTTTCTCTGCTAATAATAACGAATAATAATGTACATAAAAATCTATAAATATCTCTTGATTTCCTCAATAAACGATCTGTTGCCTGACCCTTGTCTTCTGTCGTTACACTGTTACAGTTGGTTAATTCTTGTATTCTATCTATTCTTCTTTATTGCTCTCTGCCCCCACACCTTAATCTTTCCTGGACTGCTCAAGAAAGACCTTGTTACACTGTGAAGGGAATTAAAGCAGTCAGTAGGGTGAATGGGGTGCCACTAAACCACCAACAATAGACACATAGACTCCTGCAAGAAACTAGTGAATATTATCTTGTCAGATCCTGAACATCCCTCTCTATGCACAACCCTCTCCTTGCATCTATCTCTTCAAGTAGGGGAACCAGAAGCAACTATAGAAGACTTCATGCTCTGGATGACTAAGTATAATAACCCTACTATACCTTATTTGGCACCGATTTTATATGATGGGAAAAATGTCTTAGACATGACACTACTAACTCACTGAGAAACACTAAGCAAACGGCCCTTTTTATTCATCCTTTCATTGTTATGTGGTTATTACTATTTTCACTTGAATTTTCATTTTATATACATATTCTTATTGAACAATATTATCAACGTAAATGCCCTGTTTTCATTATTACCCCTGTAGAGTGCTCGCCGACCACGCCATTTGTGATCCGGCGTTCGACCCATAGCCACAGACTCACTCCTTTACCTCGTTAAGTCAAAAGTAAGACTGATAAAGAGGAAAGGTGGAGTATGAGGCTAACAACTCCATCCTGTAAAAATAATCACCACTGCTACAGTAACTTCAAGCTTTTAGCTTGAAGCCCTATGTTCCATTGGGAACGTCAAGGAATGAGATACTGTATTCAATACTAAAAACACCATATTTATACCAAAAGCTGTTATCATTATTACTATTATTATCATTATTATTTATGTTCATTATAACTTTAATTTAAACGGTCTACATGTGTGTGTCAGATAGTGGAAAACGAGAAGACAGGGATATCCTGGACCGATGTGAAGAACCTAGAAGACCTGGATTTCGCGCGTGGATGATTTATGTTTGATGTCACACAAAATCGAAGACTTACAAGCGAAAACCGACAAACTGGTCGAAGAAGCAGCAAAGACAGGACTGACTCCAGGTGAACATAGACAAGATGGAGGTTATGAAAATGACCAACCAACAACAACAGCATCAGCAACATCCAGCGCCAATCACCATCAACGGGAGGGATTTGAAAGAGGTTACTTCACTCACTTATCTAGGGAGCATTGTCTCAACCACAGGAGGAACGGACGAGGATGTAAACTCGAGACGAGAATCGGGAAGGCGAGAAACACATTCATCAACCTGAAACCAATCTGGAAATCTTCGTCACTCAGCATCAACAACAAAATTCGGATTTTCAATACAAACGTCAAGTCAGTCAGTTCTTCTATACGGATGGATCAGAAACTTGACCAGTGTGTCACAAAGAATATTTCCAACAGGTTACAGACCTATATCAACAACTGTCTTCTCTCTATACTAATAATCAGATGGCCGGAAAGAATCACCAACAAGAAACTATGGGAACAAACGAAACAAGAATCAATCGGCCAACAAATATGCACGAGGAAGTGGAGATGGATTGGACACTCGCTGAGGAGGCCGTTGGGCGACATCGCGTGTCAGGCCATCGCTCGAGTGGAACCCGAAAGGGAAGCGGCGAATGGGACATTCAAAGGTGACATGGAGGAGATCGTGTGGAGAGGAGTTGAAACAGTATGGACTAACATGGATGCAGGTGAAAAGTACAGCAGAAGGCAGAAGCAAGTGGAGACGTGCAGTTGAAGCCCTATGTTCCACTAGGAACCCAAGGGAACAATAATAATAATTATAAATATTACCAAAGTACATCTATCAATTTAATGATAATGATAATAATAATAACTTTGTTTGAAACGGTACATTTGATACAATATGGCATTCTCAGCATGTAATCATAGGTTTAAAAACGGAACAAAATTAGGGAGAAAATTACCCTTATACAGTTTAATGAAAACAATATTTGGCAAGCAGTGCGATCCTGTTAAATGTAAGATGATGAGGCTACAGGACTGGACAACATCAACTACTCTTAGATGGCTTAAAGATAGGCAGGAGTGAAGTGGTGGCTGAGCATGTTGACCACTATTTCGCTTATTTGGGAAGTTGTATCAGCCAGCCCTAGCGGGTTGATCGCTAACCAAATATCTACATGGATATAGAAGGCTCGTTTGGCATTTCCCAGCTTACGCCCTTTCTGGCTAGGTAGATGTGATATCTGGATAGCTATCGAGCAAACGATGTGTGTACAGCACGGCACCAGCTCGCTCCACCCTTCTTTATGGCTGACTATGGGCAAGACATGGCCATTGATTGTGAGAGACATAAAAAGCCTAGTTGGCTTTCTTTCATCATAGGTGTCTCCGTTTTATCTCCTGTCCCAGGTGGTAAGTGTAATAGGGTCAAATGCTCAGTAAGGAGTGAAAATCAGTCGACGAGGTCGTGAAGTTACAACAACTGAGATAGTTAGGACATGTTTTACGCATGACTAGCTATCACGTTCCTCGATGGGCAATTTTACCTAACTGACATGGGATCGCTCAGGTTGCAAAAGGACTAGTGGTGGTCAAACCAAAATCAACAAGGCTTCATCAGTCAATTAAATGCATAACAGTTTAAGCCAGCCAACTAGGTAGGAGTAG